TCGCTATCGATCTCTACATGTTTTTTCTTTTGTTTATAAAAATATCAAATTTCATCATTTTATTTGTTTATGTTAAATTTTTGTTGATAAGAACAAACATTTTGCAACCAAGATTTTAAATGTTTGTTCCACTTCAATGAAGTAAAAAAAAATGATTCAAAGGAATGAAAAATGGGAAATGAAAAAAATGATAAGAAAAAAAAAGTTGCGATAAATGAATTCCATAATCGCACGTCTATTAACTAATCGAATTTTCATAATTCTGTTTGAATTCGAAGAGAGAAAAAACAATAACAAACAAAAACAAGGATAAGTTCGACCTCGTTCCATAGAAACAAACGAATGACGACGTCTGTATTCATTATTTGTATCATTTATTGCTCCTTTTCTTTTGACGCCCATTCAGAGCAAATTTCATCGCGGTATTTGTTTATAGCGGCCATTCGAACAGAATCCGATTTGGTGCGAACGTGCATGAATTCTGCAAAGAAAAGAAAACAAATTACATTAAAAGATATATTCATATAAAAAACGCACATCACTTCTTACTTTTGATAAAATCCATGACTTCTTCTGTGATATGGCCACTTCCAACATTTTCAGTACCAACACATGCGATTAACAAAGCAGCAACAACATTGCGGTCTAATCGGCGGTTTGTATCATATGGCGGTGTGCTTCATTCGGCCAATTTATCCAGAATGCATTTTTTCAATTCAACGGGCTGAGAACCAATTTTATAAATCCGGTTTCCATTTTTCTGTGAATAATATATACAAAATAATAAACCAGATCGGCAAAGAACATGACCATTAAACACAAGCAAAACACTTACCTGAGGTGCTTCGTTGTAAGCGAGATCACCAGAAATGAGATCGTTTTCGCGCTTAACCAATTGGTCGTGGGAATATTGCACCGGCATTGGGAACGCTCCATCACCGAGCACTGTCATTTCGATTTCACTATCACTATCACTGTCGTTTAAAATTGATTCGATTTGGGCCAAATCGGCTCGGTGAGCAACGTGTAATTCGACCTTTACAGTAGCACATTCTTCCGTTGAGCTAACATTTCGGAAATTTCACACATTGAATCATTCAATTCATGATTTGGTGCAATTTCAGCCCCATGAGCATTCACTTCTGTTTCATTTAAATTTGTATTTGATGCAACGGTACCATTACTTTCGGCATTTGCGGTCATCGAATCATTCAATTCACGATTTGATGCACTTTCAGCTTCACGAACATTAAGTTCTGCTTCATTTGAATTCGAATTTGATGCAGCATCATTATTTTCCGGCGATGAATTGTTCAATTCAAGATTAAGTGTACCATCGCTCGAACTGGATACGGTTAATTCACCAAAAGATTCAACTGAGTCATTTTCACCATTGAATTGATCCGCTTGAATATCGCTCAAATTTGGCTCATTTTCGTTTTGCCGTGCATTTTCGTCAACGATGTTTCGATCCAAATCGGGCAATGGTGCCTCGTGCAATCGACGAGCGTTATAAACAGCAGGCTGAATCGATCGTAATCCGTTTTTGAATTCAACAGCTTTAGCGTAATTGCAGAAAAATTTAACCGATTGGCCAAAATAGCACCCATTTGTTGGTGGTGGAAACATTTTTTGCAATGGCAAATTGAAATTTGGTTGCACATTCGTATTTGGTTCTCCATCTTCGTTTGTTTCATTCGACCAAAAAAACACGTGCATTTGGTTTCTGTTTATACGATTCTGAACGAATTTTTCAAGCTGAACTTTGGAATCTTTCATCCACGAAATTGGAAAAACATGATGTTTTTCTTGCTGGTTAATGCCAGCCAAACGAACCACGTAATACATTTTAAACTTGCACGAGTTGAATGAAAAAAAAAATATTTCGCAATAATCTGTAATGCGTCTTCACTGTAGCGCCAATGAAAACCAAGTGACCGTTTGATTTTCCCTTTAAATTTGACACTTGTCGCATTAGCTCTTTTGTCTTGTCTCATACAAACGTTTGTGTGCGTGATATATTTCCCGCCGTATCAATACATATACACAGATGAACGCTCATGAATATTCGAGAAAGCACAATAAATGGACATAACGAAGAATCAATCGCGCCAAATTTGACAGTGAAAATTCAACGGCAAAGTATCATTCTCTTGATTTTTCTATCATAACCATACCTAACGTTAAAACAAAGAGTATAAGTCGACAAAATATGTCCACTAAAATTGAAAGAGCACTTCAATTTTTTGAAATTATTCCAGAAAAGGATGATATATATAAGTGCAAACTTTGCAATAAAGAAAAAAGTGGGAAAAAAAAGTCCAATCTTCTTCAACATTTGCGTAGTACTCATAAAAAACAGTACGATGAGCTGGAACAACTTGATCCAGTTGCTGCAGAGGAGATGCAATTAAAATTATTGCAAGCAACGGTAGAAAAGGTGACTTTAAATGGGCGACCTTTCGCTTCGTTGAATGATTCAGGCTACCGAAAATCAATTGAGGATAAATTGAACATTTTGGACAAAGCTGGGCGTCACATTACATTAAATGATAAAAAATACTCACAAATCAAAAATAGCATTTCCGACACCGCAAACAAAATTACAGAGAAAATCAAAGCTGAAGCAAATGGTCGACACATCTCATTAATGCTCGATATTGCTACAAAAAATCATAAATCAATTTTGGGTATAAATTTGCGTTACATTATCGACGAAAAAATAGTGGAAAGATGCATAGGAATGATTCAATTGCTTGAATCTCACACATCAAAGAATTTGGCAATCGAAGTGAAGCGGTGCCTCGATAAATTTGGCATTACTTTGAAACAAGTGAAATCCATCACTACGGATAATGCGGCGAATGTTGTGGGAATTGTTGACCATTTGGATGAAGAAGTTTTATGCGCAATTGGAGAAGACACCGAAGAAGGAAATTCAACGCATCAACCGATAGAGCTCGTTCCAGCTGAAAATATCAACAATCCAGTGAGTGACGATGAAATTCGCGATTTGGCTCGGCAAATGATGGAAGATGAGGCTTTAGCGTTATATTTGGACGACACCGGTGCATATGAAGACTTATTGAAAAAAGTAATAGAAGACCTTCCACATCATTTCAATGGAAAAACAGCTAATGTCAGGTGTGGCGCTCATACAATACATTTGACTGTTCGTGGTGCACTTAAAAAGTCAAATTTTCGAGAATTGGTGGCAGTGTGTCGAGGTGTAATTAAGTCATTGCGAAAAGAGGCATATATTCGAGAGTCTCGGCATCAAAATTTGCAATACAGTCTACCACATTTGAATGTTGTGACGAGATGGGATTCCGATTACACAATGGTAATTTTTGTTTACATTATTTGTTTTGTTTAAAAATATAAGACTGCATACAGCTTCTGTACGCAGTCATTATTATTTTGAAATCGTTTCGGGTTTCAGTTGAAATGCAAATAATAAAATGTGATTATTTATTATGTCTCGTTTGTGGATTGGTTTTCAGTTGAACGATCTTTTACAGTGCAAGGGAATGGTGGATCACTTTGCCAAAACACAGAGAGAATTTAAAATCATTCAAACAAAGTGGGCTGTCATTGAAGAAGTCGTCAGTGTGCTGAAAATGTTTTTTTTGACGACGAAGAAATTACAGGATGTCAACTTTACCTTATCAGATTTTTATGGTCATTTGATAGCACTGAAAGAAAATTTGACCAATTATTTACATTCAAATCAGCAACTTTCGGATCTTGCTACACACCTTCAAACTGAGCTCAATAACCGACTACCTATGCTGAAAAAGAATCCACTGATGATATGTGCCGTTTTTTTGGATCGTCGATATAGTTCCGAACTGAGCAGAGATGAAAAGGCGCTTGCTGTCAGAACATTAGTCAAAATGTGGGAAGAAATTAGAATGGAGCATTTTGCCAATGGCAATGGTGATACTGAAAATAATAATGATGATCTCTCATTTCGTTTTGACGACCATGCTTCTGTCATCGAAGCCTATTTTAATTCAAAAGGTGTTCATCTTCAAGAGCCAGAGAAAACAGACCGGGAAAATCCAGATTATACAACGTCAAATGCGGCAATGTACGAGATTTTGAACGAATTCGACAGTCAAATTGGTCGCATACCGGCTTCGCAAAGTGTACTAGAATTTTGGCACAAGAAAAAAACTGAATACCCGGAAGTTTATTTACTATCCACCACAATTAACGCCGTGCCGCCGACTCAAAGCACCACAGAACGTGCATTCTCAACTTTGTCATTTGTTTATGACGATAAGAGAACCAAATTGTCTATGGTTTTATTGGAGCAAATTTTAATTATAAGATTGAATAAAGATTTGACGCTGGACATTTTTGAAGAAAATTTGATGGCAATTACATGTAAGAAGAACGATCCCGTTCCTTAGGAAATTTAAAGGTGAAAAAATAGAAATGTGATATTTTTATAAACAAAAGAAAAAACATGTAGAGATCGATAGCGA